ACTTAAACATGTTTAAAAGAAATTAATTCCAGCAATTGGTAAAGTGCTTACAAGTGAAATATATTTGCTACATCCACAAACTGCTAACTTGTTATTTCTTTATGGCTATTTAGATTTGCATACACAAAACCAATGTTTTGGTAACAGCACCAACGTTTTCATGTGTAAGGCATTATTCACAGTATGTTTCCTGTTATTTTCTAGAGCATTATTCTTTGTGAAAATAATCTTTTGGCCTCAGGAAGAATATTGCAATTGAATGCATAGCAATAAATACATTTGGTATGAAGCCATGGTGATAAGGTTTAATATTTTTTTAAATTACCTTGGCAGTCAAGCCAATAGTTAAGGTGAGAAGGACATCACTAGAGAAGAAAGGAGAAGATGAGGAAAATCATATTTTTAAAACCTGAGAGTGACAGATGCAAGAAAACAGCTACTTTAGAAAAAATTGTTGTCACAATTTTTGCTTATATTTTATTAGTAAGAGCAGCCTCTTATAAGTACTATGTGCCCCTGAAATCATGGAAATATAGGTTATATAAAGTGAAAATGTAGGATAGCTATAAAATGTAGTAAGAATAAAATGATTGCTCTTGTGAGACAATTTCATTTTTGCAATACATATATACAATTATGAGTTTAATATGAGCTGTAGAACTCTTATTGCTCAAATTTTAATTTTCTTTTTTTTTCTAGCTGTCATTACCCATAAAGGAATTACAAACGGCAATATTTTATTTTTCTCAGTTAGTGTGTTTTGTGAATTGGTGTATGTGTTTTCATATAACTGTGAGGACAGCTGCTTCAATAATACACAACCATGTTCTGTTCTTAATTAGCTTTTACCTCATTGTTACCGCATTTTAGGGTGCTGGAGTCTACTTCTAGAGTAGTTTCTAGGTTATTTCTGTCCTGAACGAAGAATTGTTCAAGACAATCATAAACAGTAGTGAAGTTTCAATTTCTTCAATGTAGGAAGAGTAGCGGGTGGGCAAAATAAATTTAGGCGAAGTAAAAGTAGGAAGATATTCTCAGAGCAGGGCTGGGGTTCTTTGCAGGAGAAGCTCTGGAGCTTAACTTGAGCATCGCTTCCTGGCTCCAGCGCAGATCGCTCAGCCTGCTGGCACAGATCCTCCATCCTGTGGCATAGACTTTGTAGTTTCCAGAATTGACCTTTGGGCCTTCCAGTGCAGATCCATGCACCAGCCCTGCATAAGACATTGTCCTGGCCTCTAGGCCTCCAATCTTCTGTTGGGCTTGTGGGAGGCACTGTTACGAGCTCTAGGTTTTCAGCCAGACTCATGTGGGATATTAGGATCCAGGCCTTCAGCTGGATTCTTTGGTCTTTAGTGTGTGGACAGATTTTTTGCACTCTTTGCATATAATTCTTTGAGTGATTCATTTTTAAATAATCTTATAAAATGTGTCCTGAAAAAAAAAAAACTTAGAAAGATAAATAAATTTTAAAAAATATTTTAAAATGTTAAGGCTGGCTCTGTGGTCTAAGCACCTGCCTGGCAAGCACAAGGACTTGGATTTGATTCCTGATACTACATGCTGTGCTGGCCCTGGAACCCTGGTGTGCCTTGCCGGCCACCAAAACCGGGGATAGTGGTGAATACCTGTTATGGTTTGTGTCTGGTTGTTCCTGCAAAGCCTCATGCAGTCATGGGGCAGACTTCTCGAGTTTATGATTAACTCATGATCTGCTGGGATGAGTGAGATCCAAGGTTGGGATGATAAGTGTGAGTACTTCTGGGACTAGGGGTGTGGGTGCTATACCTAGCCTGACGTGGACAGCCTGAATGTAACAGAAGAGAGACGGAGAGACAGACGTCCTCTCTGCTACCCTTATTGTTGCTACTCCTCCCATTTGCTCTTGCTTTTTGCCACTGCCATGGACTGCTGCCATCTGCCTTGTGCTAGTCTGCCTTGGAGCTAGCCAAGTATGGACTGAATCCTCCATTAACTGTGAGCTACATAAACCTTGCCTTCCTGAATTTTGGGTGTTGGGTATTTGTCCTAGCAATGGGAGAAAGTAACTGAGATAATGTCTGCATTCCCAGCACTGAAGAGGCTGAGACAGAAGGATCAGCACATATTGCATTGTTCCCTTTGTAAAAACCCCAAGCCATGACAGTTATGCTAGTGCCTGCTAAGTTAATTTGTATTTAATAATAACAGAATAATTAAAAGCACATCAGATAGATAGATAGATAGATAGATAGATAGATAGATAGATAGATAGACAGACAGACAGACAGACAGACAGACAGACAGACAGACAGATAGCAAAGCAGAAAGAGGCATGGTATGGGAGCTCACACCTATAATCTCAGTCCCTAGGAGGTTTAGGGATGAGGTTTGCAGCCAGTTGGAGGGCAGTTTGAGTTACATACTGAACTCAAGGCCAAACTAAATTACATAGTGAGATCTTCTTTCAAAAATTCCCCCTCTCTCAGAAAAAAAGTTAAAATTGTTTCACATATACTGGCTTAAACCTAAAAATAATTTTTAATAAGAAGCACAAAAATCTATATTTCTGCAGGGACACATATCTAGCAAAATGATTTTCTCAATTATTCTGTAAATGTTTCAAATATCTCAAAATCGTAAAGCACTACAATAAATAAGAAAATATGATTGAGATTTTGCTTTATATCCAATAATGCAGGTGAATTAGCTTGTAAAGATAAATAATTCATGAATGGATTTTGTCAAAAAATTATAATAAAATTTCAATTTGTTTATGAAAGAATACATTTCCAAAATAGACTTCCTTTACATTTTCAAATGCCCACTGAATAAATGGTCTACAACTTCTCCTATTATATCTGCATTTTTAGTTTTTAACCTAGTGTTCCTTTGAAGTCAAAGGGAGCTCTGCATGTGGGAGAGCTTCGTGGTGTGTGGAAAGAGATGAGAATTGCAAATATGGTTTTGAAACATTATAAAAAACATACTTATTCAAAAATTTAAACAACTAAGCTTAGAGTTTATATATAATGTCAATGCATTTACATACCAAAACCTCAAACATGACTTGATATTTTGTTTAGCTTGGGGTTATTTCTAATATTTTAAAATATAAAACTGTAACTGCTAGCAAAAATTTCAATGAGTTTTCATGCCTCCTTTTATGAGGCTGCACAAGCAACATTTTAACTCTGTCACACTTACCACAAACATGTTATACCCTGCATATCTAAACATTTCTTCTTATAACTACCAATTTTTCCTCTCTACTGCTGTATTATGTTATTGCTTCTACCCTGTTCATTCCTGTCTTGCCTTTCTTAAGCGCTAACTCTTTATTTCTTTTATATTGATAGAAATATTTCTTGGAGTTTCAGTCACGACTATCTTTGATTTAAATATCTTTGATTTCTCCCATTTCTTAGACCCATTTTAATGAAACTTTCTTCCTCATCAATTTTTTAATATTAATGAGGTCACTGGTGACTTTCATACTACATGTCCAATGACAGATTCTTATTCTTTACTTAATTATTGTTATCTGACATAGTTGATCATCAAGTCTCCCCTAATGCACTTTCTTATTGGACTTTAATGTTTAAAAATCTCCCCCAATTCCCAGCCTTTCTGGGCCTTCCTTGCTGTGCTTTCCCTAGGCCACACTATGGCACATTGCTCTTAGCAGCTCTGTCCTTAGATCCCTTCTTTTTTTTCCATCCACATCCATTCCTTTTAAATGTCACATTGGGACCTGGGAGATAGCTCAATAGAATAAGCACTTGCCTGGCAAGCGCAAGGGCCTGAGTTCAATCCCTGGTTCCACCAAAACAAAACAAAACAAAACAAAACAAAACAAAACAAAACCCCCAAAAAAAATAAATAAATGTCACATAGTCTTACAAATTAAAAATTGTTTGGGCACATGATTTTTAATTTTTAAATTCCAGCCCCAGTCTCTCCTAGGAATTCTAGAATTGGTTTATTATTCTGACTAATAGACATCTTTAACTGAAACATAACAAGATTGGACTCTTGGTTTTACTTTTATCATTAAAATTATGTTTTTTTTTCATTATCTTTCCAATCTCAGTAAATGACAAAGTTCTTTCAAATAGTCAGATATCAAATCATAAAATTTCATCAAGTCTCTACTGTATCCAACATGTATTAACTTATTATTTTAAACCATCTCATCATGGCTTTTGCAAGGGGAACAATAATATAGGATGCATCTTATATTATTATTTTATAATGAATCGCCCAAAGAATTATATACAAGTGTGGGAAACCTATACACACACCAATGCTAAAGAATCTAGCTGAGAGCCTGGATCCTAATATCCTGCATGAATTCGCATGAAAACCTAGAGCTCATAACAATGCCTCACACAAGTCCAGCTGGAGACACAGAGACTACAACAAAGTTCATGCAGGCCTACTTCATGGATCTGTGCTGGAAAGGCCCAAGGGCAGAGGTGGAAGCTAGAAGGTCTATGTCAGCAGGCTGAAGTATCCGAACTGGAGCCAGGAAGTAATGCTCAAGGTAAGCAGCAGAGCTCCCCCCAAAGTACCGCAGCCATCCTAAGCAGCACTCAGGTCCTGAGCTCCTCCAGCAATGAGGAAAGCACAGTTCCCATCAAGAAAGCCAGTATAACAAGCTTCTCCATGAGACTGAGCAATGCACTATATTTTAAAATTTTCATATTGAAACAAACTCAAGATGAGGACCAAAGCTCCTCCAAAGTTCATTGGGAAAGCCAACATGACAAGCTCCTCCAGCAGAACAACCCAAGAGAACTCGCAGTTTCCAACAGCTCCAGCAGCTTTTCCAAACATCCTTAATAGCATTAATGCATCCTTAAAAGCCTTCTGGAAGCTTCTCCTGTTCTGCCTTTTATGTTGCTGGAAACAACTCTCAGGTGGGCCTCCCGCACTCAGCACCATGCTAGCTTGATTCAGCCAAGAGTAATAAGTTAACCACTGGTTAGCTATCCAGGACATACCTCAATAACTACCACTCAGTGCTTGCTTCAGCAGCACACATGGAACATTGTAATGATACAGATTTAATTAGCATGGCTCCTATACAAGAATGACACACAAATGTATGAAGCATTCTATGTTTTTAATTTATGATCACTAAATGAGCTATATACAATACTCTGAAGGACCTACTGAAAAGTTAGTGAATGATTAGGACAAAGATTCTATTACTGTACTCTGTGGCTTTTGGCTTATAATTCCAGTTCAAAGAATGTGTAGATATTGTATACCAAAATTCCTTCCAATCTCATAGGTTTATGTGAACAAAATGTCATAGTAGTTATATCTATAAAATTAAACATACAAGACTGGGCATGGTGGCACTCACCTGCAATCCCAGCTCTTGGCAGGCTGAAAAACAGGAGGATCACTATGAGTCCGATCTACATAGTGAGACCCTATACACCCTGTAGACTCTGTCCTAAATACATTAAAATAAATAAATAAATGTACAACTCAAATTAGTGTTGAATTTCGTAGATCCAGCTTTTCAAAATATATTAACTATTTGTCAATATTTGTAATGCAATTTTTGATTGAATACCAATGGTAACTGTAACATTAACTCAGTGTAAGAGATCTTTTTTTCTTTCAACAAAACCTTAAGGTCGTGGGTAAAATTTTAATTTATGTACATATTTTTCAGAGGCTATGATAGGGTGATCAATAAACTACTTTTACTCAGTAAATATATATAATAAATTAGCATAAAACTTTGTGGGAGGAGAAGTATGCAAAAACAAGTTCAAGAAGAAAAGAATGCTATAATTTCTTACTATTAGAAAATTGAGCTTGTTCATGTATTTTTTAAGCAGGAGATGATGTGTATCTAATCTCTTTTTTTAAAAAAATATTTATTTATTTATTTTGTGGGGGGGGCAGCTCAGCCCACGGGGGGGGGGGGGCTGGCTGGCATGTGGTGCTGGGGGATTGAACCGCGGTCCCTGTGTTTTGCTTAGCTTAGCTTGTTCTAAGTAGGTGCTTTAGACCACTGAGCCATCTCACCAGCCCCCATCTAATCTCTTGACATGCTTTATCAAATATTTAGATTCTTTTGAGTTCATATTAAAGAGTGTAGCAGTAGTTTTATTTTATCAAAATATACTATAATATTAGAATAAAAAAAGTTAGTGAAGACCACAAAGACATGAAACTCAATAGAAAGAAGTCACCAAGCAGGAAAAGCAATTAAGCAGATGAGAAAGACAGGAAACAACAGTAAAACAACATGAAAAAGAAAAATCATAAAATTTCTTCAAGTCTCTACTGTACCCAATATGTATTAACTTATTATTTCAAACCATCTCATCATTGGTTTTTGCAAGGGGAACAATATAATACAAGACACATCTTATACTATTATTTTATAATGAATCATCATTACACATCAGTTATAAACAATATAGATGGTCTCAACTCATGAAGCAAAAGAAACAGACTGACAAAATGGATAAAGAAGCAAGATCCAACAATCTTGCATTAAAGAAACATATTTAACCCAAAAATAAATTAAGAGACTATTAGCCAAATGTTGGAAAACAATTCTCCATGCCATAGAAATCCAGAAAAAAGCAAAGGTAGCTATTCTATTTGCAGCCAATGCAAACTCTAAGCCAAAATTGATCAAAAGAGACAAAAAAAGTCACTACAACCTTGTTAAAAAAATTCCAAGAAGAGATAATAATAGTAAATATTTATGAACCAAATTTACCCCGTTACATAGAACAAATATCAACAGAAGTAAAAAAAAAAAAAAAAGTACTAACACAATTGTCAGGGGGACTTCAATACCCTACTTTCACAAATAGATCAATTAGACAAAAATAAAAAAGAAATATTAGCATTAAACCATGCTTATGAACAAATGGACTTGGTAGATGTATATAGAGTGTTCCACCCCAAGACATCAACAGGTGCACATGTTCTCCAAAATAGACCACATACTAGCTGACATGTTTAAGTAAATGTAGAGGAATTGAAATCAACCCATGCATACTATGATAACACAATGAAACTAGAAATCAATGACAAAGGAATCACAAAACCTACATTAATGCATGAAAATTAAATAACACCCTTCTGAGCAACCAATGGGTCATAGACAGAACTGAAGGAGAAATTAAACAATATATACAATTAAATGATAATACCAATACAACATCCAAAATCTTATAGCACACAGTGAAAGGAGTCCAATAAGGGAAATTTAGAGTGATGAACTCACACATCAGGAGAATAGACACCTTTTTATCAAATAACCTAATGTCGAACCTCAAACTTTTAGAAAAAGTACAAATCAAACCCAAAGATTGTTTGAAGGAGGAAATTATAAAAAATGTAAATTAATGCAATAGAGTCTAATACAACAATATGAAGAATCAATGAATGGAAAGTTGATTCTTTGAAGAATAAAAAAAATTGTTAAGCCATTAGCCAACCTCATCAAAAAGAGGAAAGAAAAAACACAAATTCAAGCAATTAAGAATCAAAAGGGGGAAATCACAAGAGATCCAACAGAAAATCAGGAGATTATCATTACCTACCAGGAAAATCTATATTCTAATAAGATGGAAAACAGAGAAGAAATGGACAGATTTCCAGACAGAATCAAATTGCTAAAACTAAACCAAGAAGATATAAAAATTCTGAGTAACCCAGTATCTACCAAAGAAATTGAAAATGGAATTAAAACATAACCACAAAGAAACTCCCAGGCTTTGATAGGTTCACAGATAAATTTTTTGAGAACTTTAGACAACTAATTCCACTAATGCTAAAACTGTCCTTTCTTTCTTTCTTTCTTTCTTTCTTTCTTTCTTTCTTTCTTTCTTTCTTTCTCTTTCTTTTCTTTGCCTTTTTGAGACAGAGTCTCACTCACTATACAGTTCAGACTGGCTTTGATCTCACATCGTATCACAGGCTGGTCTCAAACTCACAACAATCCTCCTGCCTTCACTTCTGAGGATTATAGGCATGTGTCACCATGCCCAACCTGAAACTCTTAATGAAATGGAAAGGAAAGCGAAACTTACAAAATCACTCCTGGAAGCAAGAATTACCCTGATTCCCAAACCAGAGAAGAACTCAACTAAAAAAGAAAAACTACAGGCAAATCTTGAGAATGAGCTTAGATGAAAAAATATTTAATAAGATACAGGCAAACAGAATGCAGCAAATCATCAAAGTTATACATCAAGATCAAGTATGATTTAACCCAAGGATATAGAGCGGGCTCAACATGTACAAATCAGTAAATGTAATACACCATATTAACAGAGCCAAAGACAAAAATCACATGATCATCTCAACAGATACACAAAAATACATTTGAGAAAATACAACACCATATATGATACAAACCCTACAAAAAATTGGAATAGATGGTCTTGAGCTAACTCGACAGCTCCCCAATTTTATAAAAGACATCTATGAAAAACCAATGGCTAGCATCGTATTAAATGGTCAAAAATGGAAAATTTCACTCTATAGTCAGGAACAATACAATATACAAGTTTTAGATGCACATAGGATTTTATGGAATATCTTTCTTATGATTTTGGAAATTGAATAATTAATGTACAATAATTCTATCACTAAAGTGTAATTAACTAGACATGCTTGTTTTCAGTCCTGTGAAGCACTAAAAGTGTATATTGTTTCTGTTGTGAGGTCCATATTCATAGGTCATAGGGATATCAGATTCATAGCCTCTTTCATAAGTTAGAAATTCTAGATTTGAAACAATATAACAAAAAGGAATTGTTTTATCCATGATATTTTTATCTGCAAATAGCTGTTACATTTACTTTGTTTTTCATTTAGGGTATGAAATGTAAGTTAAAGATATGACATAAAAATATTTTACATGTTTAATTTTTTACAATGGCTAATTATAGTATAAGACACATTGTCATTAATCACCCAAACCATACTTCCTCTCTTTTTTTAACAGGCTTATTCAGTCATTTTTGTCACTGTCTGAAGCAGTTCTAGAAGCCCATTTTCATGAGTGTCTTCAGGTGCACTGTTGTGACTGCCCTTTAGCCCTGAAATGATTCAAAATGTTATCTTTTGTGGTATCTTTGGCTATGGAAAAGAGCCACAATTATGCCGGTGCCAAGTCTAGTAAATAAAGTGGATAAGGAGACATTGTGAAGCTTTTACAAGCTTTTTCCTCTATTGGTTGCCACCGAGCAGCAGAGTTCACCTTAATTTTGATCACACCTCATAAAGACACTTATGAAATAGGACTCCCAGAACTGCTTCCAATAGTGACAAGAATGATGGGATAAGTTTATGTAAAGTTAGGGGAAGTATTCTGAAGGAGATTAATGGCAATATGCCTTTCACTGTGATATGGTTTTCAAAATCTAATTGTTCACTATTTTTAGAATACCCTTCATATACTGAGATCAGTTGAAGATCATGGAATGAAAAAATAGAACATATGGAAATGGAAATGAACTGAAATATTTATCATAAGAACCTGTTAATTACTAACATTTCAAGGGCAGACCAACAATCCTCAGTGAGTGTTCAAATCAGTAGGAGGAAAATTTAAAGAATTATTACTGGAAATAAGAATAAGCAGTATTTCAAAAAGCGAAGTGCTGTAATTTTGTGTGGCAGGCATTGTGTTAGATAATGTCCTGGATGAAGGTGGCTTCTTTAACTAAGCAATACCCATAGCTGCTCCACTGCAGTGAGTTGAGGAGTGGGATGGATGGCACAAAATCAGAAACAGTAGAAAAATGTAGTCAGTTGTGAAGTGATTACTCAGGGCTAAATAGATAGTGGTATTTGTAATATGCATACTTAGGATATTTGAAAGACTTTTAAACTATTTTTCTCTTCAGAGTATTTTATGATTCTTTAATTTTAGATATTGGTGTTCCTATTTAAATAACCCTTAAAGCAGAGTGCAAGCTCTTTTATCTCAGGTCAGTGGAGCAATGCCTAATCAGTTTACAAGGTAGTTGAAGCAATAAATTCTGAAAGCAATGTATACATGCACAAGACAGTTTGCTATAATTTGAAACAAGTAAGCATGTGTTATTATTTCATCCTTTATATAAACTGTCACC